TCATCATGGCGATCACATATCTGAAAGCTGAGGATTTGATCTGTAGCGTCTTTGTAGCTTAAAGGGTCACTCGAGATATTTTGTCTCATGAAGTTAGAGAACCCATAAAGAGCAGCAGCAGCATGGTGCTGGATTTGTAAATGGACCCGAGCATGAAAAGCGCTTTTTTTTTTTTAACTCTTCTGACTGCTCAAAGCACTTTTTACAACGCAGGTCACACCTACACATTCACACGCTGATGGCAGAGGCTGCTTTAAAGTGTTTGTCAGTTTTATAATCCCATTCACACACATTCACTCGCCGCCTGGCGAAGCAGCAAGGGGCAACTTGGGGTCAAATATCTTGCCCAAGGACACATTGGACATGTGGCCGCAGGAGTTGGGGATCGAATCCCCGACCTTCCAGTCAAGAGACAAAGACTCTACCACTGAACCACATCGACCAAATGTCAAGCTCCAGAAATTCTACATCCTACATTTCCCACAATACACCTGGATATCATCTTAGAATAAACCTTCATTTGATTATATTTTTCAAATTCTACCTCCTGAGGACTCCACAGAGAACATTACAAACATTTTTTCACTGTGTCATTGGTTGTTTCTATGACAACTAAACCCACCACCATGTGCAATAATCGTTGGAGTGCCCTTTTCGAAATGTGCTCCCATGAATCTTTGACAAACCGTTCATTGTAGCCCTTATGGTAAGAATAGAAAACAACCAAAGCTAACCTGTGTTTTCTTTCTATTTGATTTGCATCAACATACATCTTTTCCCTCGTGCATCATGTTGTTCCTTTAACTCTGCCTGCAGGATTCCCGACAACATGCAACCTGCCCTTTCCTGCCACCCTTGACTTGACAGAGTTAAAGATCAGTTTTAATGCTTCTCCAATGATGCATCGGCAGACCCCAATCATGCCGATCATTGCAAGGGTGCAATTACATTTTGAATATTTAAAGGATGGATGAGGATTTTCTGGAAACCCGAGAAAGGATACAGTCAAACCTCGTGCCTCTCTTTGTTCTTTAGCTTGATCATTAATGACTGGAGAGCAAAAACAAAGCAGCGTCAGGGATCCTTCATCTGCAGAAAAAAATCCTCTCATTCTTTTTAGAGAGTAGCACACTTTGACAGAAAAACCACCATCTCCATGCACGCTTTTGTTTTTTTACAAACAAACGCAGTGCCAAGATTGAATGCCTGCCTCTCTGCCATAACCTTCCAGCGCCCAAAAATAGACATCCCTGGTGTATTGGCTGTGCTTTCTACGAGCACACATGCAGCCGAAAGCAAAGGGATTGGTGTAGTAGACAGATAGGGCATAGGAGATACTTAGTCGTCGCTAATCTAAAGAGAGGAGACAAAGGAGGAACAATTGGGCCAAGGAATGACCTGATTTTGAAATATAGAAATCAGGTCGTCGTCTGCATATAACATAGTTTCTAATCAATCTATCAACATGACCCAAAACGTACTGTTTAGGCTTCAAAATACAATCGCTTAATAAAGACATATTACCTAACTATTGCCTATAACATTCTTTATGTGCTGATTGGACTAATGCTACCTATGTCTTATCATCTTGTCTTCATAACAGCAAACACATTCAACAAACAGTGATGGCTTTCCTTAGATTTTCTTAGTGAACGCATGCACTGCTAAGCCAAAGTGCATCCTCTAATCATCTAATAAATAAGCACCTTGTAACAATACTATTCATATTCTGTCATCACTTCAATTTTAAAGAATGCAGCCACTAAATCAGCATCCCGAATCCTTCTGGGTTACAGCCGTCCAGTTGTGTCGTGGTTACAGTGCTCTGATAAATACATTCTGTGTTTTAGTGCAAGTGGATTTAGGATGGATGAGAGATGAGTGGTTGCTAGGTGACTGGATTTAAAAGAGGCCACAGGTGGGAATCACCCCAGTACGACTCATCTCCATCCTCCTTTGCTTTTATCTAGGTTATACTGCCAAAAACAAGGACTTGTTGACACACAGAAGCCAAGGCACGTATTCTGCATATGCCATCTTGTTACCACACTTTGCGTGTTCTCTCTTTTTCTTTTTTCATGCGCCGCTGCTCTTACTGCACTCGTGGGTTTTATGTAACAGTGCAGCAATCCCCATCATAGCCTCACCTCTGATTCTCTTGCTGCCCTTCACTATTCTCTGCCTCATTGTCTCTTTTCTTTTCTTTTTTTTTTTACACCTACACATCTCCTTCTTGGAAGTTTTTGCATTACATAATCCTCGTTAGCTTTTTTTTGATCATTTGCTGTGTAAGTTAGAAGGTGTGCAGCCTCTACTCCCACATCACCTGAAAAATGACTCATCAGAGCACCAACCGATTCTGTATCGACAAACATTCTCTTCTGTGCAAGTCCAACATCAAACTGTAAGCAGCAAAAGTAGCTCTGAAGGTAATGAAGACATAATGACATCCTGTACACATTGCACTGGTTACTAGCTTAATTGATTGATTCTCTAGCAAGAATTTCCTCAGAAATGCACAGAACAGGAAGCTCCTTACTAGCATTTGTGATAATTGTAGGCACTCTAAAGACCTGGAGGACCAGCCTCAGGATACAAGAGCAGACAGGTGGAAACTTTAGAGCAGCTGTGTGGTGATAGCTTAAGAATGGAAGTCTATCTTCCAGTTAATTCAAAGCGTACTTCTTTAGCAAAGGTTAAAAAGAGTTCTTTGTCCTATTTGAGCTTCACAGGCCAGGGGAGGCACGTGCGGAGTCCCAGCATGGAGGAGAACACGATGGTGGGTCGATGCTTCTTAAACTTGAGGCCTTTCTTCAGACGCTGTCCGTTCTCCGCCACGTACAGCTCCCCCTGCTGGGCGGCGGTGGTAATCCGCGACACCAGCTCCCCGTGAACCACCACCTCCTCCTCTGAGCGCACGAACACCTCCCTGAGCTCCTCGAGCCGCCGCTCCATCTCCCTGATGACGCGTTGACGCTCCTCCACCTCCAGGAGGCGCCGGCGGGCCGCCTCGAACTCCATGCTGGAGCTCGGGGTGACCAGCTTGGAGGAGGGGGCCGTGGCCGAGGTGGAAGGCGGATCGGAGCCCGCTAACAGAGCCCCCTGTCACCCTCCTGAAGTCTCCCATGGAAATGGAGCGCCGGGTGGCTGGGGAGGCCAGCGCCAGGAGAGCGGAGGCGGACGTGGAAGGTGGCATGGCTAAAGGAGGAAGAGGAGGAGAAGAAGATGATGGAGAAGGTGAGTCCGGTGGTTGGATTTCAGGATGGGGATCCTTGTTTTTAATCGCTGCAGCCATGTCCTCATCATGCAAGTCTCTATTTCTTTGTCGTCGCTTCATGGCTGCTTCCTTAACTCTTCTTCAGTTGCTGATTTATTTGTAGTCAATGTTGATGTTTTGGTCCTGAGTGAGTTGGAGCAGAGAGCAGCAGAAGAGGAGAGCGCGGAGACGTGCAGTGATCCAGCCTGCGAGCTGCTCCATTCATTAATAAGAGATTTTTTTTCACCGGGGCGAGTGCTAGTCTCTGCATCTGAGTGGTTGTGCTGGGGAGGAGCCTCCTGGCAGCTCATTGGCTGCACGTCAGCTGATGATTGGGCAGCCTGCATCGTTTGCTGCTGATGCTGGCAGGATGTCGTGTCCTCTGCTTGACTGTTTTTTTTTTTTTTCTCGTTCCATCGTCGTCATCTGGAGCTCAGTCAGTCAGGGCTGGGGCAGAGTGAGGCAGGTTAATGCACAAGTAGCAGGTTTTCTCTCCTCGCACCAGCTGGTCCCGAAATGTTCTTCTTCTGTCCCCCTTTTTTTTCTCTCTCTCTCTTGCTCAAATGGTTGCCCCTAGCAACGCCGTCTCTGCATCAGATGGCACAAGCAGGAGGGAGGGGTGATGCTCTGATTCCTCTCTCTCCCCTTTATCACCTTGCTGTTCGGCATTGTCAGCCTTTCCCGGTACTCGTCCCCCCACCCCCCCCACACACACACACACACATTCCCTCCCTCTTCTGACCTATTTGAAAGCTCACAGCCTTCACCCGAAAAACGATATCTTCCTCTTTCAGTCACACTGCACACAGACAAAGACAGACAAATAAACAGCACACATGCACAATTAGAATCTCTCTGGTAACAAAAAACAGTTCTTACTGTGTAGACATATTTTTGAAAGCATGCAGTGTTCCTGGTAGTTGCAGTTTGTTGCAGATTTAATGGAAAATTGATTTGGAACATTTGATAAGCTAAGTCAAGTTCGTGCTTCTCTCTCTTGCAGAACCCACAAAATCATTTTAATGTGTTACTGAGATTTAAAAAAAAGCTTTTAAAAAAAACAAGAACATCCAGCTGCAAATACTGCCATGTGTAATCCTCTGTGTGCTTCTGTGTCATCCTGTCCTGTGCGTGTAAATCCATATTTCAATTTAATATAATAGATACTGCTCTTGTTCCCAAATTTAATGTTCTATTTATGCAGTTTAAAAGAAGAAAAATCTCTGTGCCTGGAGTCTGCTGTGTTGCGTTTAATCCTTAATATTAATACCTGAAATGTTAATCCTCGACCTGTTTTATGACCTAATGAAGGGGAAGAGGTGCCACTCTATCTTTACAGCTGCACTTCACATCATGAAAAACTGAACTCATGTTTTAGAGTGCGATGGAGGTTGACTTGACTGAGTAGCTTCAACATCCTGATATCATAACTTGATTTTTCCACTTCCCCCGCATCTTTTATTTCCCCTCCATTAGCAGATAAGTTTACCCATTCCGTCTAGACAAATATTGACTGGTCCTGCAGCAGTGTGGGAGAACTGATGTATGAAGTAAGACACAGGATATGATCTCTCATAACCTACAGACACAGGCTCATGCTTGCTGTACCAAGTGATGTTTTAATAACTGAGCGGGAGTGACTCAAAACTAAAAAAAGCTTTTAGCAGGTCAGAGGTGTGTGAGCGTGCATGCGAGTGTCCATGTGCATGCATATTTGATTGTTCACTTAGCCTTTTGCTTTTAACTGGGGATTGGCTTTGCATTAGCAGCAGCAGCACAGACTGTTCTCGCCCTGCTTTCAGCTTTACCGGCCTCCTGATCTCTGGGGAGAAGAAGAGAGAGAACGGAAGAGAAAGACGGTAGCTAAAGGAAAAGTTGGCCTGCATGTGCCGATAGGAGAAATGAACGACAGAGACCTCTAAATATGCTAGATAAGTCTTTATACAGCTTTTTAAGAATCTAAGAAAACAGTGTTCAGTCATCTGCAAACAGGGTAAGAATAATAAAGAAGACAACTTGGATGATTCAGTGGACAATGGAACAAGTTATTGAAGCATGTAAGCGAGTTTTTATAAACAATGAACAGCGGAAAGTTGAGAACAACTTCAAGAGATGCACAAATTATATGGACACCCAAACACTCAAACAGAAATTGAGAAAAGGGCTTTTGGGTATTCTGCACCCTCATCCTGGAATCTGTTGCAGAATGACTTGAAACTCAAGAGCTGGTTTTCTTTAAATGTTTTTAAATCTAAAATGAGAGACTTGGAAGCAGATTCTACAGGATGTGAATGTTTTGAGCTCGACTGCTTAAACTTCTGACTCCCAGATTGGCTCTCTTTTTAATGTAAATTTCTCCTTGTGTCTCTGTCTGTAACTTTGTGTTTTTTGCTGCTGGCTGTCTTGGCTAGGTCTCCCTTGGAAAAGAGGTTTTTAACAATGGAAAAATATTCTCTCAACAATCTTTAGTAGATCCACTGTCTTTTGAATAAGGTTATAAATTGAAGTCTAAGGAAGTTGGCATGTTGCCCCCTAGGTCTTAACACTTGTGAAACAGAAACATGGAAGCTTTTGTTCTATGAAGATTTGAGGGGATCAGAAAGATGCTTCAGTGGATTTTTTTTTCAACACTATGCCCATTTTTGGAAGATTCAAGTGATTGCACAACATCCCGCTGTTAAAAACCCCCTCGCTCTCGACTAATCCCCCCGTGCTGCCTGCAGAGCTGCACACACAGATTGACAGCATCACTGGCAAACGTCTTGAGTAGCATTTGGCTTCAGTGCAAATAAAGACAGGCGTTTTACCAAAAAGAAAATCTGTTCTCTTACGACAAAGTCAATCACATGTTTAACTCTTTGGACACATTGTTTATAAAATCACAAAGAAGAAAACACCAAAACACACAAGAACAGTTATTATTTGACTTTTTAGTTGAGTATGATACATTAATTCAAGTGTTTTATCCTTTAAAAATATAACGATCTGTATCATCCGAGCATATGTAATGCTATTTTTTCTCTCCTCTCTTTGTATCGCTAAAAATGGGATTAAAGTTTGCTCTCAGTCTCTCTAACCCCAGTCACTGTTCCAGATTACTCTAATCTGTGTGTGTGTGTGTGTGTGTGTGTGTGTGTGTGTGGAGGAGTGAAAGCATCTGTGTGCCTTTACCTCGAATAGTGAGCTCCAAATTCCTACTTTGTCCTTCACTCAGATATTTGTTTTCAACACTGCATTGGGGTGTGTGTGTGTGTGTGTGTGTGTGTGTGTGTTAGTAGCAGATTGGCAGTAGTTGTAATGATTACATCATCAGGTTTGTTTTCAGTGAATCAAAACTTACCTGCAGAGGTGAAGGTGGACAAACAGCTGGAGCTCACGTCATCTGAGCCGAAGAAGAAACACTGGTGGATTTTGTCTCTTACCAAAGAAGAAGAAAAGATTCTAATGAGAGTCCGAATACAGGTGATTATTTGGAGTCACAGAGAACGTGAATGTCACTAACAAGCTGGTCTATAGTCAAATGACACAAACTAAATTCAGATTTGTTATTTGAAAATTCATTCTTTAATTGAAAGGCCAAACAATCGATTGTAAGAATAAAACAGTCTTACTCTCTGAACTCTCCATCTGGCTGATATGAGGATGACAGTGCATGTTTTAGACTCTGCAAAGACTGTCAGTGTTCCAAACATGAAGCTTGTTCAGACAGTCAACTCGAGCTGCACTGACTTCACACTTCACACGTGTCGTTATCCACAATCACCTGACAACACCTCCTTCCAATTAGCGGTCGTTTCATGCTGCAAGATTTCTGGTCTCTCCCTCTGTTCTTTCATAGCCAGAACCCCAGCATCCACCTTTAGGCTCAGACTGGGGGGGTTTAAGATATCATCCCATCACTCCATTAATTACTGCATGTAAAATTAAACTGCGAGGACACAAATTATGATCTGCTGCTGCAACAAATATTTTAAACAAACACAAATTTGAGTTGTCTGACTACAATACATTTATGTAAGTGATTTGACAACAATGTTTTTAGGTACCCGATTGTAGCTTATAAAGCTAAAAGTTTTCTGCTGTAAAGTACTTTTTCTCTGCTCAAAATGGGGAAACTATCTTCTAAATAATCCCCAAAATGTTCTCTGTAGTTGGTAGAGACCAAAAACTGAGCTGAAAGAAAATAAATTCTTGACTTGAATTCAAAAAAGTTTCAAAAATAATGATATTGTAGCTCTTAACAGATCGATGAAGTAAGGAAGTAGTTCAAGATTTAATTCTTTTTTTTAGACTACAGGCCAGACTATAAGAGTCTTCAGGGGAGGGAGGGAAGTTTAATGGCTACACTAAATAACTGTTATGTGTCACACTCCATATGTCTTTCTCTTTGTTACTGACTAAGCAACAAGAACTACGAGATGCCTTCAGGGACTCTAGCAGCAGTGCTTTTGATCAGTGTTGTGAATTCTAACTAGCTTGAGCAGCTATTATCATATATATTACATCTACCATGTCAGATATCACACATGCATCTCTAACTGGATGACAGGCACATAGCATCATTTCCCCCCCAGCATGAATTTTTCAACGTTTAGCTTGCACTGTGTATGCATGCAATGTTTTATGGGAGAGCATTTTATTACCATGACGATGATTGATTAGCTTGAAGACATGCTGCTGAGAAAGGAAGACTGACATTGAGTGTCAATCAGGGTCTGTTGTTGCGTGCATGTGCAGATTTACAGAACCACAGGGGAAGCTATAAACTGCACATTACTACTATAACTCACATCAGAGCAAAACAAACACAGGAATAAAGAAAGCTTTAAAATATTCAGTTTCAGAATCTCTTTTACAGCTCAGGTCAGAAAAGGAGATTCTCCTTACATACATCCATACACAATCCCATCACGCCTAAGAAAACTCATTCTCAGCTGCAGTCAAGTGAGTAGAAAATAATGCAAAGCTTTCCTCTCTTTAGCGACCAGAGACAGTCGATGGTGATGATGCTGCTGGTATACTGCTGTTCTGAAATCAATAATGTTCTGCTGCTGCAGGCTGAGTGAGACAGTTTGAAAGTGTGTGTGTGTGTGTGGGACACAAAATCATTCATAACACTGTGAACTACTGATACTGTGATGTCAAGGTACTGAGATCAGCGGCCCAACAAGGAGTTGGTAAACATGAATGTGTGGACATTTTTAGACGAAATGTTTATGAATTTCCATCCTTAATTTCTCTACGAAATTTGAATCTGAAATGTACAGGATATTTTAGTCTAAAATATGTTATGAAACAACAGAAATTTTAGTTTGAATTTTTAATCTAAAAGTTTCATTGCAAATTTGGAATTTTCCGAATAAATTTTCATCAAAAACCATCCAAAATGTGAACAGTATACTATAGTAGATGTTTGTCAGAACTTTTAATCACATTTGTTTGAAATTTTGTTGGGATATTTTTTATGAAGATTCTGTCAAAAGATATTTGCCAGTAATTTGTTAAATTGGAAATTTCAAGTGAAATTTTAGGAAATTTCAGGTGAACTTTGGAACATTTTCAATTGAATTTTTTGGGAACTTTTTTAAAAGAAATTTGACAGAAAGTGACAGAAACCATTAGCTAATATGGAGCAGGAGCACCAGCTACGGTGTGACTGTTCTGTAGAGTGCTGATTTGCATACAGAGGAAGGTAACAGCAGGTAGAAGTGTGGGGTCAAATTTGATACTGAAAAGCAGAATCTCCTGAAATGTAGGCTGGAGGCAGAGATCCATTAACATGCAGAAATTGTATTTGTAAGACAATACTGTCCTCTTGTTTATATCAATCTATTTACATTCAACTTGGCCAAGATTGTGCATTAGTTATCTAAAGCTGTTATATAAATACTGTTTTTTTCTTTTTTTAATAGGTGACTTACTTCACCTGTAACAAAACATGAAGACTGAAGAAGACTCAGGAGTTACTCGGTGCTTACTCAGAGAAGCATTCAACTACAGTAAGAGGACCAGGACATATTGTAGAGTATATAAAAAACAAAAGCTACCCTTTATCGCCCTCTAGTGACCAGATGTGGAACCACTGGATGCTTTAAAGGCATGAGCTGATAGGTAGACAACAGGTACAACAACAGGGGAAAATCATTGATTCAACTATTCTCCCCTGGTATTATAGCACTTTGCTGGATGCAGGAGGATATCCATCAACTTTTTCCCAGCGAGAATCTAAAACTAAATTACAGTAAAAGTGGCACTGCTCAAACTACTTGTTGCAAAAGATTTCTGATGCACTCTGAGTCTGTTGGATAGATTGTATGAATTATAATTCAGGCACTCGTGTAAAAACTGATGTATCTCCTGACTTTTCTAATACGAAGAAATTAACTTACTAAACATTGTATTGTTGTCTTTGAAAAAAATAATATATCAACTTTATATTCGCCTCAACTAGACTGAAAGCTAATATTTGCATGCTAACATGCTAAAACTAGGTTCAAACATTCACCTGCTAAACATCAGCATGCTTGCATGATCATTTCCACATGTTAGCATTCTGATATTAGCATTGAGTCCAGGGCACCTACGTTTCTGCAAGGCTATAGATACAAATTTACTTCAAAATCTTGTTTATAAAACATCTTAGATAATCAAACAGAACATTTTGATGGTGAATCTGAAATAAAATGCAACACAACGTCGTCGTGCCCATTCAAAGCTTTACTAAAACAAAAACAAGAGACAGCTTTTCATAGCAACTGCATTTTTTTAATATTGTAAGATATAAAAATCTTCATCTTTATCATACAATAACATCTTACCATAAATCTAGTGAAAGGAGGGAGCGTTGCCACCAAACAATAATTGATAATATCACTTTGATCCCTTTTGAGGTAAGACAAGCTGGTTCATTTAACATGAGGCCACACAGGTCTCTCCTTCCCCACGTGTACAGGCTCTTTTTTTATTTCTCATGTTTTACATACGTGACGTTTAAACCTCACCTGTAGGCCCAGGCACTGAACTGAAAGCAAGGCCTACCCTATGAGGCCTGTCAAAGGAAAGTCAGATCTCATGGATGGAAGAGTTAACACAAAACTCCAAGCTGAGGGCGGATCTGAAGGATTTCACAGGTTTTTATTTTTTAAACGGTGGAGGGAGGCAGTTTCAGAGTGATCTAATACAAAAAAAAGTGAGCCTTTATTTTTAAAGCAGAAGGAAAGACCTGTGGGGGCATTGAGTTCACAGACGGTGATGTGCTCAGCGTATCTTTCACTACTTTTATTCACCACTTTCTTTGGACAAAAAAAAAGAAAAAGAGTCAACAACCAAAGCAGCCAACATAGGAAACGGCATTCAATAGGCATCATCAAAGAAACACAGTGGGAAGAAAAAACAAAACAGAGCAAATATAGATTTTTTTTTTTTTTTTTTTTCAAACATGCCACATTGTTCCTTTTGGGGCAAGTTTTCTTTCACAGAAAGCCACCTATGTTACTAATTTTTGTAGTAATAAAAAATAAGAGACATCTCAAAATGGTTGCCAGCATATCGACCAAGCAGAGAAGAGAGGGGAGAGAAACGAGGAAGCCACATGACATCATCACATCACCGGACCATGCACATGACCCTGCAGCATCCAGCAAGACACTACACACACATACACGCACGCACACACACACTGCAAGTCATGCAACTAGCGCACACACCAAACATACTCACACTCTCTCTGTAAAACAAAAACAAGCATAGATTGACATTAACAAAAACATCAGCATTGACATTTCCCAGAATCCACTTGTTCTGGCTGTACCGAAGCCAAAAGAGGCATTTTATGGTAGAAATGTTTTCATATTCATTATGCTCTTTCAAGAAAAACATTTAACAGCAGTTGGACAGTAGTCTGGTTCCGTGCTGTCGGCACAGTTTGATTTGGCAGCACAACCGGTAATATAAAGCTCGTCAACTTTACAAAAAGAAGACAGAAAACACAACAGAACAGGCAGACGAACAGGCGTGCAGCAAAGCCGAATGACAACCGATTACAGCAGTGATGAGGAGAGAAAACTGTCATTGTCACAATCGGAAAAACATGGCTGCATCGACTCCCCGAGGCAGGTCATGCACCATCGCACTCACACTCACACACACACACACACACACACACACTCACACCACTTATACATCTGCCAAAAACCTGCACCCTTCTTATTTTGCCCTTATAGCCCCTCCATCTATTTTCATGATTTTCCTCACAGCAGGAAAATTGGCTCACAGCAGCCCGACAAAAGGGAGGATGATACAGTAGCGAGAGCGGGAGTGATGTCACCAGATGGGGGCAGGACCACAGTCGGTGTTCCTTGGCTGGTTAGAGGTGCGTGGACGCCGAGGTCCCCGATGCAAGCTGACTGCGTGGTTGGAGCCAAGGGGGGTGCAGTTTTGGCCAGTCTCCAATGAGCTGATTGGCTGTGTGTGTTTTTTTTTTTTTTTTTTTCAAAGAGTCTCTACAGGGAGGTGGAGGGGAGCTTCTTGACGCGCCGCTGGGCCAGGAAGGAGCTCTCGATGGGCTTGAGTTCTGGAGGCGGTTGGGAGTTTTTCAGAGCGGAGTAGGTGGCTGCCATCGCACCCTGAACACACACACACACACACACACACACACACACACACACACAAAAGTGGGGATTAAACCAAAGAGAACTTACTTTCACATGTGAGGGATTTGATTGGCCAAGGATGAAAAAACTGGACCCTTACTACTGGTCAAAAAACATTATCTTAGCACCTTTAATCCTAAAAATCAAGCACTGTGTAATTGTAATAGGAACATAAATATCTGATCAGGCTTCTGTGTGAATTGAAGTTAATACATATTAAAGTGCCTAGAAGCCCTACTTAAAGGCTTTATATGCCGCCCAGATGTCGCCCTTGAGCACCAGCATGAAACCAAAACAACTCGCTGCATTGTTGTGTTAGCATGCTAATGCTAGCGATCTTTATTATGCTGGTATCTTCACACTGCATGTAAATTGACCTGAAATGAGCGTGATCTAGAAACACAGTTAAGCAGTGAGTACAGTATGTTATTCTTCTTTTCTCTAGTCCCTCAATTAAACAACTTTTATACGAGGGGAGGAGTCAGACGGCCGTCCTGGCGATGTAAACAAACTGAAGATAGGACTCTGAAAACTCTGAAAACATCACAGACAGTGGGACTCGGGTGTTACACCCACTGTAGACAGTCATGACTCACGGAGTTATTTTCAGAGGATATACCTGATTTCTACATTTAAGTGTGAAAAATCACATATAAAGACTTTAAACTCAGCAATCCTGGTGATATATTTGAAGAGAACTCTGTGTTACCTTGACCACTTTGGGGTCATGGTGTGGGAGCTGGTTGTTGGGTAGTTTGTCCCTCTGGACGATCCAGGGATGTTTGAGGACCTGCTGAGCTGTCAGTCTCTGATGGGGGTCCACATGAAGCATCTTGGACACGAGGTCCTAGAAGAAGCAAAAGAAGCAAAAATAAAATATGACACATAAAAGCAATAAGATATTAAAATTAATACATAGGAGAAGAATATTTAAAATTGTAGTAGAATAAAAAAAAGACAAAACAATAATGTTAAGATTTGAATTGATATAAAGCACTATATAAAAGCCAGACTGAATGAATGAGTTTTAAGACTGCGTTTAAAAATCTCAATATTCTCGGGTCCTCTCAGGTTGTTCCACAGTCTCGGAGCGTAACAGCTGAAAGCAGCATCACCATCAAGGTTTTAAAGATGTCCTTCAGATTTGAGCCTCTACCTTGGCAGAATCAGACACAGGGTCCCAGCTTCCTCCAGTCAGACTGAAGTGACCGTTGCCTATCCTGTTCAGGATCTCCTTGGGGGTGTCCTCAGGTCCGTTGGCGAATGGGGTGAAACTGTAGGAAGTAAAGGAGACAGATAAGAGAGTGGACCTCCAGGGCAGTGGGAAGGACTTAACTGTCAAGTAAATGGTTGAAGTGTTGGTATTCACCCGGCCAGCATGGTGTACAGCAGGACTCCCAGACTCCAGATGTCGCATCCTTCATCATAACCCTGACGCTTCAACACCTGCAATAAAGACACACAATTTACTTTAATGTCTCAATTTAACGTTGCCCATTAATCCAGTTCCATCTGAGTGATGCAACTTTAATCCATTTCTGAACAGCTTCTGTAAATCCTTCTGCTCACCTCAGGGGCTACAAAGTTAGCGGTGTAGCACGGGGTCATCAGCAGGCCGTTGTTGGCACGCAATTGCTTAGCGAAGCCAAAGTCACAGATCCGGATGGAATCGGGGTTCCCTGAATCGTCGACGTAGAGGATGTTACTGGGCTTCAGGTCTCTGTGCACCACCTGGAGGACGACGGGGAAGGTAAAAAGGAGGAGTGATGAAGCAACACAAAGCTACGTTCTGATGAATACAATAAGTGAGGCTTGACAGATTGTGTTTGTCCTGATTTAAATAGTGAAACATTTTAAACATGCATTTAGTTTAGATTCTTCTGTCCACACTAGACTTTGAGTGATAAAACAACAAATCACATCGAGCCAGGAACTATGCAGTGAAAAATGTTTCTGTGATTCATAAGTTGTAACATAAAATGCATTTTTATAAACGGTAAATTTCATGACGAAATTGTTCAATTACCCATAACTGAAAAGATGCAAATTTGGTAATCTAAATCCTCTGATTAGAAATCAATGAAATAAAACCTGAAGTCCACAAACAGGCTTTAAACTGTACTACACAGTGTGCTCACCCCCTGTGCGTGCAGGTAATCCACTGTCTTGGTGATGGTGTGAAGCACGGCGCTGGCCTCTCTCTCCGAGAAGGACTTCTGCTTGAGGATCCGATCCAGCAGCTCTCCTCCACGCATCAGCTCCGTCACCAGGAACACCTGCTTATTGTTGTCGTACACCTGACACAGAAACACAAACACAGTCAAAACTACAGCTGTGGACTTCAGAACACCTCGCAGTAATCCTAAATAACAGAGTGGGATGCACAGTAAGAGTAAGAGAGTTTACTTACATCCTTCAGGGTGATGATGTTGGGGTGCTGTCCATATCGGAGCAGAATCTCGATCTCCTCAGACGGGTCTGTGCTGGTTTTATCAATCATCTGTCAAACGCAAAGACAACGTTGACAAAAAGTTAATATTTTAAGAGATTCACACGTTTTAAATTCACATTTTGTATCTTTGAATTTGATAAACTAGAAGGGATCACTCGTTCATAAAGTTTGCCTTTTTAACAGTTTGTAATTTTCCCTCCAGTGAGATGTACAATTAATTTAGAAGTGCAAGTAAAACACAAGTGAGGATCTAAAGAGGAGGAAACAACATCAGTAAGTGCAAAACGAACAGCTTTAAGTCTGTCGGACACACAGGTGCTGACAGCTAGTGCACAGAGGAAGAGCATTTTTTAAAATTAAGTTAATATATCGTCATCAACAACAACATCAACAGCTTTTCTTTTGACTTCTAATCAGAATCAAAACTATCCTAAATGTCATCAATATCATCATCTTCATCAAAATCATTAAGTGCATAGGTGGCCATGAAAGAGCAGGGACTTAAGATTTTTTTTTTTTTAAGGTGCAAAGGGACTCGAATGGAGTATGGTATTTTGTTCCACCACCAGGGGGCGACAGGGGAGAATAGTGTAGCTAGAGACTTGGCGCCCTGTTAGTGTGTTCATCATACCTTGACGGCGTATTCTGTGTTGGTGGCTTTGTGGACACATCGTTTACAGACAGAGAAGGAGCCCATGCCGATGTCTTCCTTCAGTACATAGCCGTCGCTGAACAGCAGGTTCTTCCCGTGTAATTGCTGCAGAAGAAGAGTTACGAAGGAGAGGAGAGGTTAGGGGAGGGGGTGAAAAACTGACAGTACTAATGAGGAAGACGGATGATAGTGGGGTTTAGACTTTAATCTATTTTTAGAAACACTTCTGTGCCTCTCTCTCTTACACATTGTGAACACAGCTGTAGTAACTATACATACAGTATGCTATCCTTAAATACATATAAGCTGTCTTAAAGGAAATCACTCACAATCTAAGACTAAAATTAATGTTTTCAATTGCATCTAGTCAAAAAAAAAAAACTGAATCATCTACTTAATCTTACCTGAACCACCGGGTGTGGTGGGGGTTTGACTGGCTCCGCTGAACCTTCCTCCTCCAACAGAGTCGACGCAATAAAGCTGAAGCCTCTGAAGAGCTGGTGAGCTCCTGCACTTGGGGGAACTCCAGGGGAGTCTGAGAGATAATAAGGAAAGTTGGTTATTATGCGCCTTGGAAGTCAATTTGAATTTGTCTTTATCAATGTTTATCAAAAAAAACGATATTAGGGAGAGAAAAAATTAGAAACTGATATATCGGCCGATATCTTTCTTAGATCTATGTTTGATCTGAAGAGAGAGATGGAGATAGATACATTTATTGTGCTGATCCCTCAAATTAAGTTATAAAACACTTCTGGAAAAGCTATATAACGAAGACAAGATGGTCACTCAACTGGAAAGTAACTGTGCATGAACGTGAATCACTGCTTGACACTCTGGAGGGTGATAATGCTTGTTGTAGCTGCTAGTGTAATACAATGATGCTCAAATGAAATGCTTCTTGACTGGTGAATAAATCCAGTAATATCGGCGCATATCTGGGATAAAATTAGCCGACATTACAAGTAGTCGCTGGATAAACAAATATCGGCGGTTATTATTATCGGCCGGACGATTTATCAGTCAAACTCAAGCACCTCTGTTATAAAATTAATGCTTATGATGCTGTCATCACACCTGTGTCTCTTCTATACATATAACATACTGTATTGATTTGGTTTTTTTTTTAGCTGAAAGAGGATTTATATATTAACCTTGACTGCTGTCAGGGAGGACACAGACATGGATTAAACTGACAGAACAGACCCAGGGGAACATTAAACAGGATCTCTCACCTTTAGGGGTGCGGGAGGTGAACTCAGAGTCAAAATAGAAGGTGTCATCCGGACGTGCCACCGCTGGTCTGAATGGAGGTTTAATCTCTCGCCTGAAGAGTTTCTGAAAAGAGTAAAAGAAGATTTTTCATTGCAGCATGTAGCAAGGTTTTACTCGCAATTTTTTTTTTTTTAATCATCAATGAAAATATCTTTGAATGATTGACACTCACATTCCAGTCTATGGTGGAGAAGAAACCGTGTCTTTTGATCTCCTCTGCACCATCGGCGCCAGATGCTAAGAGAAAATCAACAGTTGGCAGTTAGAGACAAAGAGTTTATGTTGCCATTTGTAAATATCAGGGTTTCTGAGTTGATACTGACCCAGTCTGTTGGAAGGGTTCCTCTTAAACAAGGCCCTGAGCAGAGACTGAGCCTCCGTACTCAGGAACTGAGGCATGCCCAGCCGCGCCCTGCAGACGGGACAGACAGAAGAACAGCTTGAATCATTTTCATCTAATCTCAAGAGATGATTTTGGAAGTAACAAAAGTATGTGACAATGGCCTTCTGTGTTTAATTATTTTAACATCTTAATATAAAGATTACTCACTTCAGAATCAGGCTCATAGTTTCTTTGCGGTCCTTCCCTTGAAACGGCAGTGACCCGGTCAACATCTCAAACTGGAAGACAAATAAAATAACTGATGTGTACGTGTATGTATCAAATACCTCTGTATATTTAATCAAATAATTGCTTGAGTGTTTGCTTAAAAGAAACAAACAACATTTTCTCAGCTTTACCATCAGCACTCCAAATGACCACCAGTCGGCGCTGTGGGTGTGTCCCTGTCTGTTCACCACCTCGGGTGCCATGTACTCCACAGTACCGCAGAAGGAATACGCTTTCTTCTCATGATCGATGGCTTCTTTACACAAGCCAAAATCTGGAGAGCACACCACAGGAGTCAGTCAGAACATGAACACAGCGGCACACTCGTTACATGCGTCACCATCTGCTGTTATGGATTATTTATGCATCTTCTTTCACCCGTTCTTTCAAGTGTTTGTAAGGTCGTTTTCACTCTTAAAGTAGCAGCAGGGCCTCATCTGTGTCGACATTAATTGCTTTAGTGCTTCATCAGTGTGACTTGTAATAATGCCTCTCTGTAATCTCTTGCAGTCACCTTTGAGTCGGTGGCGGCAAGGCCCGGCGGGTAAATATATTGTGGTGATTATAGAGATTGACAAAAAAGATGAAGTGCAATAATTAACTTTTAGAACATGCACGGGCGTGTATGCAGATATCTGGAGTCAGAGAGATAAGGCTTCTTCAACACGGTGAGTAATGAAGGTCAAAGTAGAGGTGAGGAAAGTGTGCGTGTGTGTGTTTGTCTATATGTACTTGTGAGGACCGATCTTTGATAAACAGATTGTTAAGAGGACGTTCTTTCAGGTTAAAGTAGAGGGGAGGAGAGTGTGTGTGTGTGTGTGTGTGTGTGTGTGTGTGTGTGTGTGTGTGTGTGTGTGCGTGCGTGCGTGTGTGTGTGTGTATTTGTCTATATGTACTTGTGAGGACCGATCATTAATAATCATCTTTGTAAAGAGGACTTTCGTTCTTGTGTGCTTCTGTGGACTTATTGCAAATACAGCAGAAGATTGGGTAGAAGACGGGAGCTGGAGACTCACCTGTAAGTTTGATATGACCCTCTTCATCCAGGAGAATGCTGGAAAAGAATTTCACATGTCTTAAAAGGTGCAAACATTTTAATCATCAAGACATCACACTCTGCACACTGAGGTCCCACTACAGACTCTAACTACCTCCTCTCTTTGGCCTTGCCCTTTTTTTAGCCTGGTTTATCTCCAGCAATATAAAAGTGACATTTTAAACTTACCGTACCCTATAGGCTTTTACTCACTAGCAGCACTGTGTAGAGATTTTCTAATTTGTGGGTTTGTGTGCCAGATTTATGTAGGGGGTTGAGGAATTCATAATAAACACTTATGGCACACTGTAAAACAAAAAGTAGCGATAAACCAATTCTTGTAGAGACGGAGCCCACAAGCTAATATAAAAAAAATGCAGGGCTCAAAGCATTAAAAGGATTTGAAAATGTTTAATTAGGCAGGTTTGCATTCATACAGATTTTTCTGCCTGAGGGAAATAAACAAAAGTATGCGGAGGAAAGATAATTTAGAATGTTTAAAGTGCAAATCCCACAGAGTACAGTACCTTTAAGTAAAGTGCAAAACAGTAGAATAATTATTCAGATTAGATAAAAGGTTGTTTTTAATCCTAAAAATAGAAGGAATAATCAATTAAAATAACCCGTGGCACACTGAAAATTACTTGACTGTCACTTTATTGTGAGCGAACAACGCATTTCGCCTGCAGCTTCCTCAGATTCCCCCAGCAGGAAGCTGACAGTAATTTTCAGTCTGCCACGGATCATCGATTTATTTTTTCATTGTATGTTCTTTCTACTGACTGGCACCTGAGAAAGTAGGTTGGCTGTGCATGGTGTACCCTGCTAGTCATTTATATTGAGTAATAATCAATGTTTGTACTATTTGGGCAATGCAAAGTTTTTAAGATTATTAAATAAAAGGCTCTTTAGTGAGCACTGAAGTAAGGATAGCAGCTTTTCTATACAAGAAGAAAGAACATGTATATGCATAATTCCAGTTATTGATTCATTCTCTGAAGATTTGGCTTTACAGTTATAAACCTGTGCTAAGTTTAATGAACTGTCTTACTAATTGCAAGAAATTTTAATCAGCTTGCTAAAAGGAAAGATCAACATTATGTCAACCTGCTTTTGGACCCAAGTATTATGTTAAATCAAATATGTATTTGTTCAACAATGTTTCTGTGTGTTGAGAATGTTTTCTTGCTCTTACTTTTCAGGTTTGAGGTCCCTGTAAATGATGCCCAGGCTGTGGAGGTGGTCCAGTCCAAGTGCCAGCTCTGCCAGATAAAACTTTACATCCTCCTCAGTGAACATCACCTGAGCGGGACGAGATTAGAGAATGAAACAATGACAAAATATATTTCTTAAAAGCCCAAGAGAATTCAGATGGAAATGATTAAAAACAGTAGTGTTTAAAGTAGTTAAATCTAGAAATCCCTCTGACCTCTTTGGAGAGTCTGGTGAAGAGATCTCCTCCTCGGAGAAAATCCAGGATCAAGTACAGCTTCCCTTCGGTCTGGAATGCTGCAAATAAACACACAAGTAAATCAGATCAGAATCTGCGGTAAAATTGAGAAAAGCACCAGTAACTAAAACAAACATTTCCGGAGTTTAAATGAATTACACACTTCAGAGGAAACCCGTTGATCCGCAAAGATAATAATCAAATTCTGAAGCTGCATAGAGCGCCATGCTTGCTCACCGTAGTGCAGTTTGACAACAAACGGGTGGTTGACGTCTGCCAGGATGTCTCTCTCCATCTTGGTTCTCACACGGTCTCTCACTGCACAAAAAAAAGGTATACAGTGATATACTGGTGTTAAAGCAGCTATGGAGGAGTTAACTTTAAAACATCATTTTGCAGAGCTGTATGGTGAATACATTGTATCCATTAGTATACAGACAGAGCAGCATGCTTACTCCTTATGAAAACAAAAACAGAAAGCCAAATAAAAGCCTGTACATCTGCTCTCTTTGAACCAACAACTTCCCCGTTATATTGAATAGTCTCTGCTGATAACATGTCTACACTCATGCACTTTAACTTATGTATATTGTGTGTTGGATAACCGCCACAATTTCCCAGTTTGGTATCAATAAAGTAATTCTATTCTATTCTATTCTATTCTATTCCCATTTGGGGGAACCAGATTTTCTGACGTTTGCCAAGCGAATTAAATTGTTTGTGCTCAAAGATTAAAAAAAAAAAGAAGAAGAAAAAAGCCTGCAAGCTGGGGTGGGCTAACACACATCCACTGTACTCTATGTGGTTACTTAGTTACAGGAAAGCATACACCCTCTTATATGAAACTGAGGGTACCTGCCACTTGAAAGTAATTGTTTCTGCATGAAAAAGTCTGTCTTTTTGTTTGAGAAGCAGCGATGGTTTGTTGTCAAGGTTGTTGCAGATAACTTTTCAGACTGTCTACTAATCATTGCAACACTGAATCAACATAAAGTACTTCCTTATTCCTTCACTGTTGAGGAAGCATTTGTCATTTCATCTGCTCCTGGCACTGTAAGATCAGCTGCTCAGCATCTGACCTGCACTCTGTGGTTCAATCAAGGGAGGGTTTTGTCTGTCATAGAAACTCTTTCTGACCACATTTAGTACCATCCCACTGTGCCACCATTCAAGTCCATCACAGTGCCAATGTACCTTTGAGTGTGGCCTTCTTGAGGACCTTCATGGCGTAGAGCTGGTTGGCATCAGGGGCGGTCACCTTTCGCACCAAGAACACCTACAGGGTCAGGACAAAACCACGATCAGGGACAGGAAAGTCTTAAAGGGTGATCAAGAGTGAAACAGCAGTTATGAGTGTGTGTGTGTCTGTGTGTGTGTGTGTGATACCTTGCCGAATGATCCCTGTCCCAAAACTTTGAGCAGTTCAAACTGAGATGCATCAGCCTTCTCCGAGCCTTCCTTGACCACATGTGTGATGTTGATCTCCTTGATTTCTCCATCGTCCTGAATAGTGACAAACAAAAGGAGGACAGTATAATAAACCAGTCAGTTATCGCGGAACAAATGCCTAAAAACAATGAGATCCTTGGTGTGTGTGTGTGTAAGGAATATGTGAAGGTTAGAAAAGTTTTTTTGCTGCGTATAATAGTTTTTGAGTTTCTCTTGCTGTGAATATCAAAATAAAACACTTGAGAGATGAAGCACAGCAAGAAGTGAGATTTATGTTTGTGTGTGTAAGGATGAGTTTTTGCACACTCCGCTGCTTGTCAGTGATTGTTGAACTGCCACATTACAAGCAAACAGAAAGCTGTCACTTCACACAAAGCAATTTTTTAAAAAAGTGTCCATTGGTTCAACTTTGTGTTTTTACGACAGAAGCTTTGTAACCACAAGTGACTGCAAAGAGCGTCTCTGGGTTTCTTTACAGGGTGGAGCACAGGCACAGCTGACAACTCCACCACATGAACACTTGTGCTGACCTTGTGTCAACACCAACTGAAAGCACCCAAAGAGAACAGCGAGAGAGAGAAAAAAAAAAAAAAGCATCGACAAGAAAGAATCAACAACAACAATTCTGTTTTTAGAGGCCGTTTTTTCACTTCTCTGTACTCTTAATCCCCTGAGCTTCATGCCCCACGCCAAGAACGAAGCACAGCGCTACACAAGTTACCTGCAGGGAAAATTACACATTTTACAGAGCGGTTGGTGAGGGAAACACCCAGGAGGCTAACAACTTCTTAAAAAGTCATATTTTTAAATTTTCCATTAAAGTAGGACAACTGCTCTGTTTCAAAGTTAATCCCTGAATGTGTACTCTGCAGATATCTGCTGCAATGCACGGCATAACCATATGAGAGAAATAATAGACAAAACATGTAATTTATGTACATGTGTAAGACCTGCTCAGCTTCATTATTATGTAAAAAAAAAAAACCTGCTCGAGTGATTAGTCAGTCAAAAAAAAGAATGAAAGAATCGCTAACTGTGGCTCAGGAGTAGACAAACTGTCTTAGTATAATATCCCGACTCGTGCAGTCCACATGTTGGAGGCATGGCCATCGATGTGTGTGACCATAAATAAGATTGTATTAGTTCCTGATGAGCAGCTAGCTGGGCACTTTGCATAGCATCTGCCTTCAGTGTGTTAAAGTTAAAGAGCGAATGCTGACATGTAGAGTGAAACACCCTAATTGGCCAAAAGACTAGAAGAAGAAGCGCAATACAAGTGCTGTGTATTTACTTAACTGTTGTTGTGTGCAGTATTAATGCCGCTTTATTTTGCAGGATCTAGTTTTCTGAATGCTAACATTTGCTGCTTGCAGGTTTTTTGACAGCTCAAAACAAAAGTTCAGATAACTGGAGAAGGCGGTGTTCGTCCACATGGTCCATAACCTTCTGATCTGAATTGACGGCATGCTACAGGTAGCTAGTGTTATCATTTTGTTCTTTGTATTGTGCTTTTGTTTAAATTGCAAATCCATCTGTTTTGGCTCAAATGTGACACGAAACAACAGTTTTAAAACAAATTATTTGGAGTGCTGGCAACTCGAGAAAGCCCATTTTTCACAATGCTTGGACCATTTAAAGATCGAAATCTTTCTCATACTTTCACTGACAAAAACAAATAAGTCATTATGCAATCCTGAAGTGAACAATCTACTCATGTCTACTCGAGAGACAGTTTCATCAGTTTATCTGAAGCTGCAATTATACATCAATAACAGAGATCACCACAGGCCACTGCAGCTTGGTGCTGCATTTGACAACAGGAAACCATAGTTTGGTTGAATGTGCAAGCCGTCAGCTGCAACTCGTTTCTACACAAACACTGTAAACATCCGACAGTCTGCACACTGCAGCGTTAATTGTTTGTTCATTTAAAAAAATGAAATAACAGTAATGACTCTCTACTGGAACTTCATCAACACAAAAGGGGAATCACTTTACCGTCCAGTGGTTCCTCGTTGCAGGTAAAGTGTCACAGCTGTTTTCCTTTGCAGATGTTGATCTGACGCTATCACAGTGAGCAGCGGTGCCCGTGCCGGCCAACACTTTGTTCTTTTTGGACAGGTAGAAGGTGAGAAAGCGGCTCAGTTTGAACTTTCTCTTGTCCTTCTCCATCTCAGCACTTCTCAAACTTCGGCTTCATAATCATAACAGTGTCCATAACTAGGCTGCACTACCTCGCATAAATCATCTCAACTACCGTCTCCTCCTCTCACCACAAGCACACTTTAAACTCATCTGTGCACTCATGTCAGGATCAGTTCTGTGGACGGCAGGTACATATGGAAAAATCTCTCTCAGCCTCTGCCCTCTAGCTATCTATCTATCTATTCACTCTGCAGAGGCCCTCTGCTGTAATTTATATCAACTCTTCATCTTCATTCTCTCTTCCATTATCTCTCCTGTCCTCCCACTCTGTGCTCCTCCTCGCCCTGTGTGTCCTCAGTGACCGACTACTGCTGAAGTGAACTGGAACCGAAGCGGGCAGGAAGGAAGAGCCTGCACTTATTCTCACAGTCCTGCACCCTACAAGTCCCCCACACACACACACACACTCTCGCAAAAACACACACATCTGTGGCTGAGAGAGAGAGAGAGAGAGAGAGAGAGAGAGAGAGAGAGAGAGAGAGAGAGAGAGAGAGAGAGAGAGACTTAAACGGCACAAAAAAAGAAACAGATGTAGGTTAAGAAAAGCTGTGCTATTCTGCAGCCTTAAACCAAGTATCATTATTATTAATTATCATCATAGTAATGTTGAAACCTCATTATAAATGCTAATAATAATGCTAATAATAAATAATATATTCAGCTAACCAGGCCAGCTCATGTCGGTAGAGGTGGAGACATTAGATAACCGCTTTAGCTTGAAAACCCTGTTGATAATTTGTGTCCTCGTTTATTTTTAACGTCGACTGAGGCTGTATGGTGTTGATCACAAGACCATGCTTTTGTTCTGAAAAAACACAAATCTTATCAGCACAGATCAGAAAACATATCTTTGCTGATACCGATATATCGGTCATAAGCCCCACTTAGGATGATAAAACCACCAAAGTACATAAATGGCAGATCTAGAAACCGAACTTGTGTTTCTGTGCCAGCAGCCTTCTGTCAACTCCAAAAGCAGGATTTAAGCCACTTCCCTGTACCCACAATCCAACAGGATGAAGCTGGAGGAAACGGGCAGACAGGCAGTGGAGGATGAGGGTATGGACGAGTCAGACGACGACGACGACTACTCACTTGCAGATGACAGAGATTTTCCTGTCTTTTAGTCAGGCCATGTCCCCATCAAAATAGTCTATTCCTGTTCATCCTGCCTCTTCAACCAGCTCTCACCGCTCCTCAAACGGCCTCTCGTTCACCTCTCTTTTTACCGCTCTTTAAACATCTCCAAAACAACGAGAGAAAAGGTAATTTCAAAACACGATATAAGTGTGGCGCGTGAGTCAACTCTGACTAAACAGCATCATGATCGAGGCCGTCAGCGGATCTACTTCTCACAAGCATGTGATTACACGGCAGTGCGCATCAGACTCATGGAGAAAAGGTTGACTTTTTAAAAAGCTTTGCACAGGGGCAGAGGAAAAAATATTGCAAACGTGTGAAGTGACTGAACTGCAGAGAAGGGGGGAAAACAACAGAAGGCTAGTTTGCATAGAAGAAGAAGGAGAGCTGCCGATTGTTCAGAGGAGAAGCAAGTGCACAGGTGGAAGTGGTTGCACCTTACCTGGGTTCTAATATTTGCAAATTCCTTCTCTATCCAGGAGATGCCAGACTCGTTCTATGGGGGAGGAGGGGAGGATGGTTGTGTTGGAATGGAGAAGTTATTACAGGTTTGCAGAGAACATGATTTTTGATGCAGAACATAAACGTTAACACAAAAGTTTCCTCAAGCTTACATGAATATAGATGGACACAGATGTGCTTAAAAGTATAATTTCAGCAGGTAAAACGCACAAACACACACAGAAGAGGGTTGAGGATGAGGATTGCCACATTTGGTGACAGGAAACCTCAGAGTTTTCACTTCCTCATTTCTTGAACTGATCTCACGGCCTTCCTGCTCGATGATTTAAACATGCTTGTGCTCGCGGCGGGGGAGCTGTGGTTCCTAGTTTAACAGCTGCTCAGTAAAAATGTTCTGTTACACTGAATTTGTGTGACTGATGATCGCACGTGAAGACAGTGACGACAGTTAGAATTCTAGAGTTCAAGAAACGAAAATACTCGAGTTACTTGAACGTAGTAACATTTACTTTATTAATCCGAGGGAAATTCTGGTTCTACTGGAGACCCACTGCTACACAGAGAAAACTCCTTCCTCTTACCAGAATACACCCACACACACACACACACACACACACACACACACACACACACATCTTCCTCAGGACTCCATCGACCCCCCCCTTACCACCCACACTGACAGAACACGATCACTACAGATCAGCTGCAGAAGAAAAAAAAAAAAACATCCACTTGCCTCTCGTGTGCGTGTTTTGGTGCGGAATAAATGCCTCCACATGTCTGGGTCCAGATATTTTCATGTCACTAGTGTCAGTGAGACTCTTTGTCACTTTGCCGACTTACAAACTGTCTGTGTCAGAGTTGGCTAACATTTTCTGTGTGCAACACCGCAATGACAGAGATACAATCTGCATACACACACACACACACACACACATTGAAATGGGAAGTAAGATTATAAAAGTGAATGCGAGTTGCAGACAGTTGTCGGGGACATAAATGGTTCAGGAAGTGCCATTAAGGAAGTGTCTTTTCTTTTTTTGGACATCATTTTTGCCTTTCTCTGATAGGGCGGGGGGGGGGGGGAGACAGGAAATGCTAGGAGGAGAGAGAGCGTAGGGGATGACATGCAGCCAAAGGGCTGAGGTCAGATTCGAAACCAACAGCTGCTGTAAAAAGGACCCACTAGGTTATCCGGCGTCCCTGAGGAAGTGTCTTCTCATTGGGAGAATTCCAAGCAGGAAGGCAAAAAGACGTCTGATGTACTGCTTTTGCACACTTTGGTGAGAGATTGATCAAAACAGATTGACTTGGCATGATGGGGCACTCTCTGTGATTGCACAAGCCTCTGCTGGCAGCCGCAAGACTTACAGAGAAGAGAGGGAAATCAATGCTGATGGATGTTTGACAAGAATGAGAGATTCTGGAGAAAAATGACAACCCTGTTTGACGTTTGCAGGATTCTTAAGAGTCCCCTCTGGCTCAACTCTGAATATTTCTCCTGTTTAATGAACTTAAAGTGAAGAGGCACTTGGACAGACATTCATTAACTTTCAAAACAGGGGGGAAATTAAGTTGTTTGAAGTACAAGCACATCTAGAAGAAACACAGACCTTCCTCCTGTCAGAGCCTGACATGGTGTAATGCTCTTAGATAAACACAAGGGGCCAGTGCAGGTCTGCAGCCAGGACAGTGAATATATTCAAATAAAAGGCAGGAGCTTTAGCCAAGTAAGGGCATGTTCACATTGTTAGTGTATGCCTCCTCCAGCACCGGAGTCCTGACATGTTCCATATGACAACAAGGCGTACCACAGAAGAAGAAGAAAAGACAAAAAGTTGGCAGAGAAACTGAGAACGAGCTGGTATCAAAAGCTGAACTGAAGATCAAACATGATGTCAGTTAGTTAGATAATTGCAGTATTCATGTCTCTAGTTGTTCCTCTTTCCTAGAAAACTGAGCAGCAGTACCATGTGCATGACTTCAGATTCATGACAGCTCAGACTTTAAGAAACAGAAAGGAGGAGGAGGAGAGAGGAGGAGGAGAGAGGAGAGAGGAGGAGGAGAGAGGAGAGAGGAGGAGGAGAGAGGAGAGGAGAGAGGAGAGAGAGAGAGAGAGAGAGGAGGAGGAGAGAGGAGGAGGAGGAGAGAGGAGGAGGAGGAGAGAGGAGAGAGAGAGAGAGAGGAGGAGAGAGGAGGAGAGAGAGGAGAGAGGAGAGAGGAGAGAGGAGGAGGAGGAGGAGAGGAGGAGGAGGAGAGAGGAGAGAGGAAGTCCAGAGGAAAAGGTGTGTGTTTATGGAGGAAGACAGAGTAGTCCAAACATCCACATAACCAACCGTGGTTCAGTCTCATTACTGCGGAAACTAATATCCTGTACGAGACTTTGTCAGTGCAGACACACACACACACACACACACACACGCACACACGCACACACGCACAGATTCTACTTTCCGGCACAACCTTGACTCAAACGTACACTTTGTGAATGCTTAATAAGAACTTTAGATGCAAGTAAATGAAATGAAAATACACTATAAAAAATGATTGACCATTTCATTAGGTAACACAGCCCACAAGCTTTTAAAAACAATAACACTTGGCTTACTCGATAACTAATCAATCATTAATAATCATGGCATTGCTCCTGCAGGGTGATTTTCCATCAGTCTGACAAATCAATTCACGATTCATTGATTAGACTCTTAATGTAAAAACTATGATACAAAAATGCTACTTTTGCAAATACTCTAGGGACTCTAGGGAGGATGGGGCGGGGTTTGAGAGCGGTCTCTGATGTTTTGAATTTGTACTGCAGTACCTATTTTAAACACTGGGTGTCAGAGTTACATATCGCTCCTTTAATGCGTTCTTCCTCATTATTTATGAGACAGTAAAACAGACGTCCATTCTTAGAGAGAAGATTTTAGAGAGCAAAGATATAGAAAGCCAGCTTGAACTTTGGAGCGTAGCTGCAACGCGTTTATACACGTGTGTGTTTGTGAGAGAGGGTCCAGACATGTCTGCATGGCAGGCTCCCAAATCTGTCAGAGCAGAGACAGGAATGTCTCCGTCCGTTTTTCATTAGTCTCAGACTCTGTCCTGTTGCTGCCATATTTTGGCGGGTAGGGATGACTTACTCATTCAACAGGTAATTTCCTGTTCATTATATATTTTTTTTTCCATAGACTAACAGTCTGCTCCGGCGACACACTCTTATTTCCACTTGGCCCGACAGCTTCTCCATCTGCCCACCTTCACGCTGTCCTTTTCCACTGTCCTATTCTCCTCTTATCACTTTCTGGTTTCGCCCTCCAGAAACACCTGCTGCGAGAGCGGTGACTGACAGGCCGCTACAGAGCAGAGGAGGGGTGGAAGGAGAGAGAGAGAGAGAGAGAGAGAGAGAGAGAGAGAGAGAGAGAGAGAGAGAGAGAGAGAGAGAGAGAGAGAGAGAGAGGAATTTTGCAATAAGCATCACTGCAGATGGACAACCAGCACGTCTCAGTAGCAGCAATCCTGAAACATTCACATTATGGTGCTTCAGAATGGACTCAGCCTGGGGCGGGCAGAGGGAGAATCCACGAGAGGTTTAAGGAATGTAATAAGAGAAAAGAAGAAATAAGTTCAGTTTCAAGCTGGCAGAACAACGCCGAGGCTCATCAAGAACAAAGATCAAGTAGGGCAGCAAAGCCTTGTAATCTTTATCCCTCACGACTTAAAAGTGATGATCTCCATCTTTACCAGCGAAGCTCCTGTTATCCCTCTGACACATCTTCTACAAGAGCTTCCTCCTCTATTCATCACTTTTAAATGGAAGAGCAGGAAAAGGATTCTGTGTGGCAGTACAAATACTGACAAATATGAAAAACAACTATTGACACGGGACCATAACTGTCTTTATGAGATTAAAAAAAATGGAGGCTGAAAACATGGGAAACAATAAGAAAAGTAATTCAATTTGTTCATGAGGTTCTCTAAAGCCTGAATGACGTCAGCCATCTCTTAAGGCCGGGCGGTCCAGAGGCTCATTGGTTGAAGCCGCCATGATGGAAATCCTGTCTCAGCCTAACTTTCAGGCAACCTAACGACAGGCTGAGAGCTGGAGCTGAGGCGGGGTTTAAGCCTCTTGACACAGCATTACATTTCGCCCACCTGTCAACCAGGTCAGCTTCATGCCTCGGTGTGAATAACGCTTATCCTTCTTAACATCTAAACGGATGAGCTGTCAAAACATCCAACCCACATTCAGTGTGTGCCGATCGAGACATGAGCTAATCAAACCCATTTGATTTTTTTTTCAACCAGGCTGTAAAGATGTTAATTTTTTGCTGTTAAAACATTCTTTTTTTTTTTTTTAAATTGGGTGTGTGTGTGACTTTTGGAGACAGCCTCAAGTGGACACTCGACGAACTGCAGGATCTTTGCATTTCTGCATTGCCTTCATTTTACAACAGCGGAGGTTGCCGCTCGGTTTGTCCCTGTTAAGAGGCCCCACACCATGTTTTGACCTTAACCTTTGGTGAACACTGCAAAGGGTTAATACCCCTATACTGAGGGCATCTGTTCCATCTGGCAGTGCGCACACACACACACACACACACACACACACACACACACACTTACAACAAAACACAAAAAAATCTGCAGCCTGGCATGATTGCATCACAGCAGCACATGTCGAGTTAGCACACAGGTGCTTCGCTTTCCATCAAGGCCGTACTGAAGTTGAAGGTGGATGCTACAGGACATTTAATAGGAGGTAGCACAGGATTAGCACAGATGCTACAGGAAATCCTGTGCTGGCATCTGCAGTATTAATAGCAGCAGCGAGGGGGAGAGAGCAGTAAGATGATAGGCAGATCAACGCTGGGCCAGTTGACATGAGGCCGTAATGGTGTTGTGTAACATCCACAGTGGCAGCGGTGGTCAATACATGAAATAAATAAATAAATAAATAAATAAAAGAGGGTCAGAAAAAGGCAGGGAGGAGTTAGGAGAGAACAAAAAGAGAGGGGATGGAGGGATGAGTGGGAG